GCAATTGTTTAGCGATAATTGAGACACATCGGCAGCGTGTTACTATGAGAAAATTTTTCTTTCAATAAATGCACATTGCACTAACCAATCCAGTTAGTGGACGTTCATTCCCTGGACGCGAGGACCAACTCGCAGCTAACGCAAGAACCGCTTGAACAGCAATATAGAGGCCTGAAATGTTGCGGAACATTAACAAAATCTCGAAAAAGTAACTGGATCACGTTTGAAGTTTGATACAAAAAAATTCGATTACATGTAAAAAAGTAACCTGGAACATTGAAAGATTCAAACATAATCTCCGCTGTATACTCTCGATTCTCAGGGGTATTCAAGGGAGGCTCTGTCTGAAACATGTAAAATCGGTAATGAGAAAATACTAATACATCTTCTCAAGCAACCTTTTGAAATTCAAGAAATTCATACCAGCAAAAAGAAATGGTCTTCTGGTTCTGCTCGCAAATATTTGAAAATACACTGTTCCCAAAATCGCTCCATCAAATCCCAGTCTTCGACAATACCATGACGTATGGGGTACTGAACAAAACTCCATGATACGTACTGCTTTCATGAACTTGATATGTTCAGGTCATGAACGGGATGATTAGGTGATGGAATCAAGTGAATTCTATTTGAAACAAACAATGTGCGACAAAAAGAAAAGAAAATTATTTAAAAAAGAAGAAATTAAATTGAGAGTAACCTTAGCAGAGTAGTTTGCGGCAGCTGGAGAAAGGGCTTCATCTCCAATGAAGAAGTCCAAATCATCTATTCGTCCACCAGTCGATGTGTTCCACCGAAGGGCAGCAGCATTTGAGCTGGCCACTTTGTCCTTTACGGCAATAGCTGCAAAGAATGGATAAGTTCTTGTAGAACAACAACTTATTATACTACCGCTTTGACATGTGTTTGACTGTCAGCGGGTCTTTTTGGCCGTAGGACCAGAACCTGCCAAAGTTGCCCAGTAAGAGAGAAGCGGTCAGGCTCGGCCTAGGGCGGAGGGCTTTGCCCATACCCCATCACCTTTGCGATACAAGTGCTTACTGCAGGCCCTTCCAGCTTGACAGCTTACGGGCGCTCATCCGGTAAGGGGGGGGGGGCATTGTGATGCAACGTCAAGTAGCTGCCCTCACCCCCCACCCCCCTAGACTGCCTTCACTCCCCCTGGCTCACGGGGTCCCGTACTTCGAGAAACCTGTGCGCCAGGGGGAGTGTAGGCAGTCTAGGGGGTGGGGGGTGAGGGCAGCCACTTGATGCCCCCCCCCTTACTGGATGAGCGCCGCTTTACAGTTTCGACCATCTACACACACTTCGTATAATGTAAGCGATGCCAATTCTTTCCCTACGAACAAACCATGCTGTTTAACACGTTGACGACAACGCGAGTTTTGGCACTTTTTGGCCACGTGGGACCACGGCGTTTTTGCGAGCGCCGCCGCCTCAGGTCGTTCAAGCAAATTTTGAGTGATAAAAACATAAATAATGATCAATACAAGGCCAGATCAATATATTGTAATGAGCACAACCTACTCGGAGGTACAGTAGCGGAATTTCTATTGAAAGACATGGAATAACAATGAAAAAGTGATATTCTTTAGAACAAGCTGCAATAAACTTCAAAGGCAATTTTGAGTTGATTATTTTAATCAAAACACATATATTGTCATCTCTAAGGTACCGTATCTACTTCTACTACTATTTAAACCTTCACATTCATAGGAAGAAAAAGTAAACGAAAAATTTATTAGGCTGAAGATTTCGTATGGTTCAGAAATCCTCCTCCAAATTGAAGCATACGTGACCATTCTATGGACCACTATGTTTTTAGCTAGGTCAAGGTCTCCTCCATTCAATAATTACAAGAAACTTCTAGAAGAACCAGGCGTGCGCGAAAAAAATTAGTGTAATGGGTGCGGGGGATATATCCCCCGCACGGTCCGACACGGCCTGCAATGCGCGGGATATATATCCCCCGCGTTGTCGTCAATGTGTTAATATTGTATACTTTTCCAACAAACAGCCCATCAAAGCTTTTCAAAGTTTAAGCACTAACCTGATGGAATAATGAACTGAGGCTCACAGTTACCAGCATAACCCAGTTTTGTGTATCCCGTCCCGTTGTCAATGGACGCAGGCTGGTAAATGACCAGCCATCGTGACAAACTCTTCAAATAAAGCGATTAAGGGCGTTTGCCACGAAACCCACGTGTGATAACGATCAGACATCGCAATTAAAAAGGGGGACATCTTTGATTTCAAAATTGACAAGTTTGATGCAAGAAAACAACATCAAAGTTTAGGGAAAGTTTTGAAAAGTTTCTATAATATGGAAACAGGGGTCTATCCCAGTTAGGGGGCACCATGATGCAGTTTTTCCAGAAAGCTAAGGTAACTCCGAGCCAGGGAGTGTAGCCAGTCTAGGGGGTGGTGGAGGGCAGTCACTTGACATGCGTGAAAAGCTGGAATGTTCAAGTTCACACTAGTTCGCCGAGAAACTGCATCATGATGCCCCCTAACTGGAACAGACCCTGCGTGAGATGTAGCATATCCATAACAACCAGGCTTGTCTGATAAAGAACAAAGTGTACAGGTGGCTTTGTTGTTATAGTTAGCAGGTCGATATGCAATGGAGTGTCTTCAGGCATCTGGTGGAAATACATATTAATAAGCAATGTTAAGCAGTACAGAGCCCCTAACTTATGCGAAACATCTTAGAAAAAGGAGCAGGAATACAAACGCATCGCTTCATCAACAGGCTTAATAGCCTTCAAATAGAGCATTAGCACATAGCATCGTGCCCGACCGGCTAGAACAGGACAATCAATATGAGACGCGGCCTCACCAGATACTCAGCACTGGCGCGTTCTTCGAGGAGACCAGCGGGCTGTGTCACCGTGTCAATTCGAGAAATGATGAGAATATGTGTTCAAAGCCAGTCGTCTTGCAGCCACTGTATGACTGGTGACTTCTCAAGAGAGTGGTTCTCAGTACAGCTATTGCTGTTCCAGAAAAGGATGCAATACAAGTGGGATGGGCACGCCGTATTTTTCGGATAAAGTAGGCAGCAAAATGTATGTAAGTGGGACTGCTGCCCGTTACTATGGTGTCAAGAAGAATTGAGGGAATTCGTGAGCCAACAGGAAGTGTAGCCAATCTCAAAGAAGGATGGATGGGAGTGAGAGCAGCCACTTGATGAACAGTAGCCATATACCATCCTCTCCCCAGAGGACGCGTCCTCCGCCGTCACGCATACAACGCGCTAGGTCTGTCTGTCTGTCTGTGCGTCTGTTTGTCCGTCTGCCACGAAATTCAGTACTACATGAAGAACCACTATTAGAGTCCGGGTCCACGTTTGGATGGGTGGCATGGGTCCAAAGAGCTACAAAACACGGATCAGCTGGGTGGAGCTCCGCCCACAGTGAGCGAGATACGTCCAAATTCGGGTGGGGCCAACGGCAAAAGTTTCAAGTGCGGTTACAAAAATTCTCAAAGACCGAGAAAAATTGGTAAAGGTGTGCTATGATTGATAAAATCAAGTTAGACCTAAGCGCGCAAAGTAGGCGTAAGCGTTCTATTCAATGATTATATCTATTTTTACGCCTTTCGTCGTCGAAGCGCTACACCTCGCTTCCGCTGGCAGCGCTCAAGTAAAATGATCTGCGTGGTGGAGCATATTCCCGATGCATTCGCTCTGTTATCGTAATCGCTTCCTTTAAAGGCAAAGGTCGGGATAGTTGACCAAACCAACCCTTTCGGTCATGCCTGTACTTGGTTACGCACCCGTAGAGATGTTCCCACACTCAAAACCCGAAACGGCGCAGTAATAAGGCCCCAGGGCATGTACTATGCGCTATCGCCGCCTGGCCCCGCTACGACCGCCCACCTTGGGATGTGGTGCGTGGCTGGCATAACGTGTGAAATCAGCTAGGTTGATTGCCGTATCAACCGATAGAACGACTGATATCTTCCAGAAAACTTGTTTGTACGTGCCTCTTCCCCAAGCCAGCCTCCTTCACTGCTAGTGGGAAAGAGGGTTTTGTTAACGGCCTTGTCGACGGTTTTTCTCAGTTTTTTCTCCACTGTCGTTCTACTTCGCATCTCTATACTCAGTTTCAATCGCCATAATACCCCCTTATTGAGCCCGACTTTTGCCTTTAGGATTCCGTACGACGACCTCGAGAATATTCCCGACCTCGTACGACAAGACTCTGGCTGCGCCTGAACTCGCACACATTACTAAACGAGGTATCTGCACAAGCTTAAACGTCGCATCATGATCGCTTCGCATAACTTTCTGGGGTGTGGTTCGCCAGGACAAAAAGCGAAATTTTCGCGTTTCGCAGTTGCGAAGTTTGCCGTATGCGGATAATCTGGGGTCAGGTCAACTGTAATGTTGATACAAGTCCGATTTATGGAGGCGCAACCCCGAGGCTGGTAGGGGACGAATATGCAGTGCGGCGAATTAGAGCACAGCACACGGTGTGGCGCATCACCACGGCAAGGGATGTTTGGTGGCAGATGCGCGTTTGAATGGCGGTTACTCAGTGAACCAAAAGAATAGTTATCACAATGATTCCGATGTTTGCGAAGTTGAATAAACGAAGAAGATTGCAGTACTGTAAGGATAGACCTGGAGGAAAAAAGAAAATTTGTGCAAAGGAATTTTTTGGAAGAGCGGATTTTCAGAACCCCTCGAATGAATTTTCGAAAGGGCATGTTCCTGGTTTTCTAACACATTCAAGGCTTTACACGAAATCAGTTTTGAAGGAAGTCACGACCAAAAAAATTCGTAAAAAATCACGACAATGGCTCGACGAATACGCCAAAAACAATATTCCAAGCGGGAACGAGTTCTTGAATCGCTTCTTGAATAAATTGAAGCACTTGTTAGGGAAGTTTGAAACCTTGAAGTTTGTCATGCTAGCTTCACGTTCCTAAATTATTGCGTTTGAAAGGAAGTTATGATCGTTTTGAAAGTTGAGAACTCGCGGCTCTAAAAAACTGCAAAACTCTCGAAAAGGTCCCAACGGGACTAATTTTCGAATCGGTGACTTTCCAAAGGAGTACCAAAATTTTTCAGAAAGCTCGAACCTTGACTTTCATGCACGGCTTCAAACTTCCCCAACTTAATGCGTTTGAAAGAGTTGTGATGCGTTCAGTTGAAACTGCCGCCCCTAAAGCCGAAAAAAATTTTTTCATCAACGTAAACTTCCAGGAATATCAGCGATTTTTGAGATAGTAGACTTAAGTTGCACTAATCTTCTATCTTTTGCAACCTCAATTCGGAAAGCTATGCGGCTGAGCGGAAAAGGGTGTGCAGTTTTTATTGAAATTTGAGGCAGAACACTGGGAAAACGGGAAATACTCCCGCGCCCAGGGTTTCCCCGCCGTACATTTGTACACTTGCTTCCATATACAGTCGGCCACGGAGGGGGGGGGCAGGGTCAACCCTACGTTGTTACGAGTAACAACGGGGGGTCGTACTCAGTTGAGCTTGGAGGGGGGTCGTACCCTCTCGGTGGCCGACAGTGGGATTCTTGGTAATATCGGATAATAGCCAGCACGTTACGTTTTCGTAAGATGACTGGTACTAGAGCATCTATAAACAACGCTTCCCTCTAAATGAGCTTTCGAATGAATCAGCGAATTAGAAGGCGCCCGAGGCGTGGCGCGCACCAAGGCAAGGGATGTAGTGCAAGCGCATGCTCGGAGCTTTCTAGCACATCCTAAATTAAACATAAAATTGGTCTTCCAAGAAGTTACGGGCAGTGAAACCTAAGAAAACTCGCGTTTTCGAGAAAATGGCTTGAAGAATACCCCTCAAAATAAAAAGTAACAACGGGACTAATTTTTGAACTGCTGATCTTTCAGGAACGCTTGGGTGCTCGTTAGAAAGCTTGAATCCTGTAGTTTATTATACCGTGTTCAGCTTCCCAAATGAATGACTTTGAAGGAAGTTATGATCGTTTGAAGGTAAAAAAGTCGCGGTTCCAAAAAAATAGTAACGCAAACCCCCAAAAAAGTAACAACGGGACTAATTTTTGAACTACTGATCTTTCAGGAACGCTTGGGTGCTCGTTAGAAAGCTTGAATCCTGTAGTTTATTATACGTGTTCAGCTTCCCAAATGAATGACTTTGAAGGAAGTTATGATCGTTTGAAGGTCAAAAAGTCGCCTTTGCACAGAAAAAAGTAACAACGTACAAATTTTTTAAATTAAACTTTCAAAATTTTTAAATTGACTTCCGGAAAATTTTCACCACATGATTGAATAGAAAATAATTTGAATTTTCCAAATCAAATCACTTCGGCGCTGAAGCTCGAATATGAAGGAAGTTATAGCCCTAGAAAGAGGAGTGTAAAAATTCTCTTGCAATTTTATTTTTTGCCTAATAACTTATTCATTCCGAAGTGTTTGAGAACAAATGAGCACTCGTTAGGAAGGAGGAGCCACGTCGATCCAAAATCCACCTGATATCTTCCGGACTACCTGAAATTAAACAAAAAAAAACTCGAAGACAAACAAGAAAAGAAACAAATTTTAACACGTTGACGACGAGCGATTTTTTCCTTGTCGCGCGCATGGGACGAGGCGTTTTTTGCATGCAAAGCGCCGGTAACAACAGGGCAAAACTTATTTTGTAGCTCTGTAAAATCTCGAAATGCACAAAATGCCTTTGACTAGAGTACTCCAGACACGTTTAGAAACAAGGAAAAGTTGTTACTACTGAATGCTGGGTGAAATTTCAGTGACATCGCCTGGCATTTTCAAACCTCAGGTTAGAATAGGTTCTGAAGGCGCAATTTCACGCATTCTTCATTTTTATTATTAATATGAGCTTTCCTTTAGATGGTACTGGTATCCTGATCACATCTGAAATCTTCTACGAATTTTTCACTCAAGAATGACGCAAAAAACTTTGCGTACCTGACGGAATGAGCTTTTGTTTGACTGTTATCTTGTTCTTCATGATCGAATAAGAGATTTAAACGAGTCATTTCAAGGTCAAAAAATTGTTTGTGAAATATTTGGCAGTTGATGGACTGGATAGGTACTTTTGTCCTGCCTATGAGTAAGACTGAGCCTACTTGACCATCATGGGAACCTAAGGCTAGAAATGGACATTCTACTGACGGTGACCTAATTAGTAAATGTCGATATGAACAATTTTAGTGAGATTTCCAGTTTGCTGACGGTGGGAACTTTGTGGTTGTGATTCAATTGACAGCGCGTTTCTGCCACTGATAACTAATTCAGAATAAAACTCCCAGGAATTAGAAAGATCATAATTCGCAGACAAGTGTAGTAAGTTAGGACACTGAAGTAAACGTTGAAATAGAAAAGTCGCGGGTTCCATCTAAGTTTGCTTACTTTCAAGCTGTCGGTCACCATTGACCGACATCGTCCCATGTGACAGACTGCCTGTCGGTCAGCATTGACCGACACATCGTCGCCAACGTGTTAAATGACTTACGTAGAAATAAATATTGATGGTAAACACTGTCTCTACACAAGTGTTACATACAAAGGGGGGTCGTATCAAATCACCCATGAAGGGGGGGGGGGTCGTAAAAAATTTCCCGAAGAGTAACAACGATAGGGTTGACCCTCGACCTGCCTTCGGGTCCACCGCCTGATCATGGAGTGGACCGGAGTCCAGCACCGGAAAATAATTCGTCCCTGCCCAGCCTTTTCACCCCCGCAGCCAACCCCAAGAAAAAACCCCAGTCTTATGTCCTCGTTCGTGTGGGGTCATCATGTAGTTGACGGTTTGAAGTGTGCTGTCTAGTTTTTGGGTGTGAACGCTGGAGCTCAGAAAGGTGTGACTACTTGGATTTTGACAACTGCCTCTGCATGCCCCAGCCCTAAATTGGCAAGAAAATGCAAACTGATCCAGGCAGATTGCGATCCCCTGGTGGACTGTTGAAATGTATTCCTTTGCTGTCTATCAGCTCTTGTCCTTCCCTTTGTTCAGAATCCGATTTCAATCACCACAGGTGCGACGGTCTCAACCTGAGTCTCTGTCTACAACAATACTTTCCCTGGTCGCTGTGTGAGCGTTGCAATTCTCCCGTAGGTCCGGCCACAGAAAATTGCAAGATTACGATTTATTAAGAGTGCAGAATGAGGTTCGATAAGAAGATAGATCAAGGCTGAAATCGCAACATTATTAGAGGGTTATTCTAATCACATCGAAAAATCAGTCACAACATCAGGAAAGCAACTCTTACTAGTACACACATCGTAGTACAATCATGGATTAGCGAAACGGAGTTGCACAAAGAATGGTGCTTAAACAAACAAATCATCTAAATCACCTATATCACAAATGTTTTTGGAAAGAAATTCATCACGATGGGCAATGAATGCTGCATCAAAACGCCTGCCATGCCCAAGAACATCCTGACCGCATCACACCAAAACTACAGTTCCCCTTTTAGAAAGCAATTTTTCTAGCCGCTTTCTTTTTCACCAGCGCTGTCAGCAGTAATCATATCATCCAAAAAGCCGGAAAGTCAGGCCGCGATCATCCGCTCGAGCGCCATGGCTTCAAATGTGGAGGAATACAGTGGAGTACAAACCTTCGGTTCAAACCAGTCATTCAGGCTGCTGCAGAGGGTGTATGCGGTCATTTTTAATCACATTCATAGCATATCAATTTAAGTCATTTGGAAATAGTGCAAATTGCCAAAGACAATAATCTAAAACAGTGAATTCCATCAAATCCTAGACCAATAGAATTGTAATAGAATAAATTAATAATCTACACCTACAAGTAAGTCCATGACTTTTTCGTATATTATTGACGCAACATAAGTATGTCAACGCGTAACTGCTCATAAAACCATATTGTCATACCCAACTTATTTGTGAAACCATCAAACTTGTTTGCATACAAAGTACTGTGAGCTTAGCTGACAGAAACGTGATAAATGTGGAATAAATTATATAAGCTCGATAGAAAGAACAAAATATCAATCAGAAAATGTACTCTTCATCTGATGACATAGTCATGTCGATAGCCCAACGGAACTTTTCTCGCAGGGTTTTATTGAACACCTAAGAAGAAAAACATTATAAAATGCACAATTTCCTCCAAGCGAACAAAGATCTATTTGGAAAATGCCTCAGTTACTGCTGACTATTCGATTCACTAACCTTTTCTATTGGCACGTTAAATTTCTTGCACCAAGCCACCGAAATTCGAGGATCCAGGTAGTTGAGCTTTGAGGTGCCCAACGCAATTTGCTTATTCTCGTCCTGAAACGATGATTCATCGAACTGCACAAGCAAATGGGAAAGGAGCTTATCGTTCCTTCGAAGTTGGATCGCTCTTGGAAACAGGAACAAAGACTTACTCTGTCAGTTCTGCTGATTTTGAGTTTTTTCAGCTGTTCTTTCAAGCGATCAACTTTCTTTCGTGCCTTTTCTTTGGCGGCGCCTCTTGCTTTTTCCAATTCAGCTTTAGCTTCTTTGAGCTCGCGCTTTTTATCTTTTATCTGGAAAAATTGGACAGAATAAGAAATAGATCATAGACGATGACGAACAGCAGCATAATTTGGAATTATTACAACACCTTTTGCTCCAAATTCTCCATAGCCTTCTCGTGCCCTTTTGGTACTGCGCGTTGATGGTTACATAAAATTGCAACCATCCGATTTGCTCTGTTGTATGAAAGCATCTTCTGGTGGACATTGTCGTCAGCTGAATGTGAAGAATATTTCGCAGATTCCTTTTTTCCAGCACATTATCCTGATAGGTAGCACGACACACACAACGGTGAGATAGCTCATTCTCTTGATACAATAAAGCAATCTAGCAATCCCTCACTTCTCTCACTTGAAGACTACCAAAATACTTAAAGCATACGATTTGTTAATTTGGCCAGTTGCTGCTGAAGGGTGATAGATGCGTTGTAAGTACGGAACACCTTCACAGTAAGACCGTCCATAAGAGAGCGTAAGTGTTCGTTCAGTGAAGCAGTCTATAATAATTGGGTGAGATATGCTACTGACCTGAGGCCATTACTCAAACTTGGAAAGTTCCACAAAAAACTTACATCAAGTCTATCGAAGAGATCGTCACCAGGTTCCTTGTTATCCATAAAAAGTTGGAGATTTTTGAAAACCCGCTTTTCGACCGGCACTTGATTGAAATAGCGAATGGAGTCCTTACCAAGGAAGTCAAACTCAACCACGTATCTAAACATTCAATAGGAAATTAAATGCAACCGAGGGAGAGATGAAGAAAAATCTGAAAATTTGTCAAGTAAATGTGAAGCAAAGCAAGTACACACTCCTTATCGTCGAGTTTCTCGTATAATTTGATATGTTCACAACGCAGCGAGCAACAACCAACAGTATCAGCCGCTTCGTCAACGTCCTTCTCGTTACCTGCTCGAAGAGCCAACTAAATTATTTAAGAATTAGCAAACTTATATTATATTTGCTACCGGCATCCAGTATTCCACAGATGCCAAACAGAGTATGAACTTGTCTGGGAAAACACTCCACACCTTATCGATGAAGTAGAGCGCGACTGCTCTCTGTCGCACACGCATCTCCTTCGATTTCCAATCAGCAGTATATACGGCCCTAATGTCGTCAATTCGAGTCTTCAAACGTCGCGCGGTTTCGTACTTTTCATAGTCTTTTTCACCCTAGAACACAGTTAAATCCATCACTGCGATTTACTTCGAAATAAACTTACTGACCTTGATCTTACTACTCGGATTTAACATGATATATTTGTTTTGCCCTAAAACGTTTTCTGTCCAAGATACAAGCCATGTTACAGTGTTATCGTGCCGAACCTCCTTCCATTTGCGACCATTTGGAGCTACTGGAATTTCGCTATCCCTAAAAGTAGGCGATTTTGCAAACGTGCAACAACTACTACTCAAGTCAATCCCAGTAGACGGAAAACCGACTTGGAACAGTTGATGATCACATCTTCGGGTCGAATTCGCTTCTTCAGCATACCCATTTTTGGGTGACCACCTCGTCCACGAAACAAACCTAAGGAGAACTGATTGAGTTGCGACAGTGACGGAGCTCCGAAACTTCAAAGCAGACACTAACCAGGTGGCTCTATCCTGAAGTTCCCAACCTTTTGTTTATGACCATCGATATAGGCGACTCCATATATTTTGGCTTCGGCTTCTTTGGCTTCCTGAAAAAACATAATTGAACTCGTTAAATCTGGCCACCTGCTATCACTTTCTAACGAGATACCTTGATCTTGGCTTTTTCCTCCTTACTCATTGACTTCCGGATTTCTGACTGTTCTTTAAAATAAACATCCATTTGCCGGAAGTCACACTTTGTGAGGTCAGTAATCAATTCGCGCTCAGCGGGAGTCATTACCTAAAAGGTATTCATGAATAAGCAAAGCATCATAAATTACAGATGACTCGACGTGATTCCCCGTGCACTGGCCTGATCGATTATCTTTACAGTACCTTTCGCCAGTCACGGAAAAAGTTTTTGTTGAAGGCGTCCTTTGTTGTGTATTCGTGGTCCAACATTTTTGCGTAAAACGTTGCTACTTCTTCCGCTTCCTCAGAAAGGAGGACAACCTAAATAAATGGAATGAGTTGCTGCTCTCGAGTACGTCAAGCACGTCATTGAACAAATGATGTCAAAAGAGTAAATCTCACCTTGCCATCATACTTGAACTTCACGTGCTCTGGCAGGCGTTCATACGGAGGAGCAAAAAGTGGCCCCTTGTGATGAAGGCTGTTCCATTTCACACCAGCTGGTTTCTTCTCTTCCTTCCACCTAGAAATCCGCTTATCACGATAACTCGGATCAAGGTGAGAGGAAGGAGATCAGAAATGGAATCCTTTCTAGAAAGGCTTACCATTCCCAGACATCTTCTGGTTCCTCTTCCTTCTTCTTTCTTCTCTGAGTTGGTTCACCGTTCTCCTTCTTAACCTCCTTCTTTGAGGACTTACTCGACGATGAAGATTTCTTCTCGCTTCTTTCTTTCTCCTTCTTCTTTTTCTTCTTAAATTAACTTTGATCAGCAGGAAAAAGGGGAATCTTAGAAAAAACGTCACTGCAGCCACTCAACCACATCCACAACAACCCACAAGAAGCAAATCCGTTGTTCTACCTATTATGTTGGTTTATTATCCCACGCTTAGCTCGTTCTTACCTTCTTGGACTCAGTATAGTCTTCTTCACTGTCACTTTCATGTTTCTTATTCTTTTTGCCTTTCTTTGGTTTCTTTTCCTCAAAGTCTGAATCAGCTTCTATCTTCGGTTTCTTCTTTGCCGATGGAACCGATTCCTTCTTCAACCGTTGAGACCATGGGACGTCATCTTCATCCGAAACCTAATCAAACCCTCGGATACAGAAAAAACTATTCCAAATGTAATGCAAGACAAATAGGGTGATGCATGTTCGAAGCTACACAAAGGACATTTCATCCAGACTAACATCTAACCACTTATTAGTGCTTCCTAGACGATTGTTGGGCTTTCAGCAGTACGGACACATATCCAGGTCGGATCCCCCTAACCGGTGGGCGCCTCCATGAAAGCATGCAAGACGTGCACGTAACAATCACACCCAGATAAGCGAAGAAAGAAGATGGATAGTCCAGAGAAGGAATTTGAAACAAAACATACAAGACAAACACTGCACATTGAAAGGTTCTTGCATAATTGTGTAGGCCTTGAAAAATACCTCCGGTTTGTATTCGTCCTCACTGTCGCTTCCACCCTTTCTTTTCTTGTCCTTCTTCTTCTCAACTGGTTTCTCCTTCTTCTCCTTCGCCATACGTTCAGCCCACGGGATGTCATCATCGTCAGAGTATTCCTCTTTCACCTAGAACGCGAAACTGAACAGTTATATGAGATGAGGCTACCCTGCAAAAGGATTCCGCACCTTCTTCGGTGGCGGCGCGTTCTCTTTCTTTCGGTGGGTGGCTCCGGCTGCTGCTGCAGCGAGGGCGGCTTCGAACGAACCCAATGCTGGCTGAAAGTTATGATGATTCGAAAGTCTTCTTGCTCCTTTGCGATATGGAACCCCACCTCTTGCTTAACATGGTTAGCTTCCTCCACCTCCATCGGAAAGCTGCCATTGGCGTGCTGGCTACCGTAATCACTAAAAATATTAGGTTTATAGTGAGCTGTGAACATCATAACCTTCAAAGGTGCTTTTCAGTCTTTCCATGACTAGCACTCATAAAAGATTTCAACCTGAATGAACGGGCAGATTCAAAGAACTGGAGGGAATATGTGTGAATTATTTTATGAAACCCGGGCTTGACGAGAATACCTTTTACAATAATCACCATGCTCAATCGCTACTACAATTGAGTGAGAGCTAGACAACGGAACGAGAATATTGTCAGGAGAGCAGTGCTTATAATTACTTTTCTACAAGAATACTTACAAGGAATGGTCAATTGGTCAGTCCGGCCATTTGTAATGAGGTGTAGTCCGATGCACGCGTCTTGCGACGCTGAGCTCAAATCCGTTTTCGGTTTTTGCCGAACGATTCTCTGAACGAAGTTACGAGGGATTCTTCTTCTATCTCACTGTGGCGCCCTCTACATCCCTATCCCACTCGGCTCGCGTAAAAATAGCCTGTCAGCAGTAATGGAAGAAATTTTTTGTTTTGATCACTTTGTGAGTACTACCACATGTGCTCGTAAGTTATTGAAATCGTATATTCATGAGTCTTCCGTGTGTCAAAGTTCATCATAATAAAATTTTCTTAAAAGAAGCGGAAGGAAGATTCCAAGGGTCTGCTCAGCCAGATGTCAAGTGGGGACGCAAATCAACAAAATAACCAAATATAAACACTTTCTGGGTTCGTATGAGGAGCCCTGAAAAAATGCAAAAACTTGCATGGCCAAGGATTTCGAACATGTGACCTCACCCGCACGGGAAATAGCGCTATCCACTGCACCACCAACCTGCTCACCGGCACTTATCACGCAAGCCGATTGAGAAAGGCGGGATAGAGGGCGCCACAGTGAGAAGAATCCCTCGTAACTTCGTTCAGAGAATCGTTCGGCAAAAACCGAAAACGGATTTGAGCTCAGCGTCGCAAGACGCGTGCATCGGACTACACCTCATTACAAATGGCCGGACTGACCAATTGACATTCCTTGTGAGATATGAGCAAAAAATTTTGGGCGCGGAGGGATGGGGGAGGCGAACTCGCACGTTTTCCAAACATGTGTGCTACCGGGGCATGATCTGAATTCAAGTTTTGGTGTTTTTGAAGGTTACGGGGCAGTGGTCCACCAACGCGTGAGCGTCCCTACAGAAAAGATGATTAAGCCTCATGAAGGAAGGAAGCAGATGCTGTAGTAAGCATATGCGAGAGTGCCCAGAGAACAACACAGAACGCTGAATCACCAAGCCTTCCGGTTACCGCTGCCCCGGATGGTTTTGATGCATTAACTACGCAAGGAATTCATAATCAACTTTGTTTTTTTCGAAACCGACTACAACATCAACTATCAACATCGAAAGATGGCAGGAATTCTTAACTAAATCAACCAACCAACCTGTCGCCACTACATAGCTCCGATTTGTTTTGATTGTCGGTCAGTATAGGCGTTGAAACCACGTCAGCCATGTGGTTTGACTAAGCAGGTCGAGCACTAGGCGGAAGCAAAGGCTAGAGTCAGTGATTGGTTAGAAAGTGGAACGCACCACACATCAGTTATAGACAAACGAACTGAATACATATAGAACACACTACACTCGATCTGATAACTACGTGAGAAAAACGAGTTTCGTGAGATATCACGGCATTTGCCGTCTGCGTGAGTTTGCTAGTTAACAAGATTTGACACATTTCTTGCACACACTCATGGAATCAGGGAATCAAAAAGATACGCGCTCTCAAGAAGATAAGATTTTGTTCCCCATTTCCATACTGTTGTATTACAGCAGGTCCTGTGAAGAGAAGTGGGGCAGCTGTGGATCACTTGGACAGAAAGCGATTTTTTTCGCTCGTCTAGCGCGAAATTTTTCGCTACAGAATCACCAATCCTACTCATGATCGGATTTGGGAATGCAGCCCAACGAAGTTTGTTACCGTGGACGCACCCATAGTCGGTCGTAATCGTAAGGCCGCTGTCAGACTTTGGCCTTCTGAATGAGCGATTCGCTAGCGTCCGCGGTCGCGTTGTGGTACCAGCCAATCGAGCGATTCGCCAATACGTATCTAATGACCGTTCCGATCGGACAACCGACTATGCATGCGCTTGTAGACAAATGAATGCCCCTCTAAGTGAAGACAGAAACCAGGAATGATCCATCAGATTTATTACAGTCGATGTCCGAGAGTTGGGGTAGGCGTGTCACCGGAACCAGCCGCACTTGATAGATGTCGCGTGGATAAGCTGCTTCCAACATACATCGCTGGATATCAGCAAAGCATGCTGGCAACAGCTTATCCACGCAACTTCTATCAAGTGCACGTCACTTCCGGTGACACGCCTACCCCAACTCTCGGATATGGACTGCATCTGCATGGCTCACACGGAGCGCGGTCAACAGAATCGCCCGAGAGTTGCGTCGCCGCGCACGGCATCTCTTCGATAGGCGCGACAAGACCGACGTCATAGTCGGCGACGGACCAAGCGATGGAGCGATCGCAAGCGACGGGCGATGGCTCTGCTCGATCGATACCGCAGCCGACTGCATTCGACTGGGGGCGGGGCCAATCGCCCGTCGCTTGTGCACTTTGCAAGCGATTGCGCAATCGCTTGCCAATCGCTCGGAGAGCGATTGGCAAGCGATGGAGCGATCGCGATCGCTCCATCGCTTGGTCCGTCGCCGACTATGACGTCGTCGTCAAATAGTTGAATTTGACGACTGAGAGCGATAATTTTTTTTGCAGTCCACGATAAGCTATGTAGGTCGCGTATATCGAAGCAAATCTGGACGGTACTCCTTTACTCTTACATTTCAGATGTAGCCAACAAGTTGTTTCCAAAGTTTATTATCGTGACAAAGCACAAAAAGGAGGGTTCCGAGGGATCTGGAACTATCGGCGCATTGACTGAAATCAAATGATAAAGGGACGAGCCGACTTGACGTCCTTCCAACATTCAAATTCAAATGACGCACACAGAAACTCGTCCACTGTAGTCTCGACGTCGCGTCCACGACCAGTAGCGCGGGACTCCGGACGATTCTGTTGACATACACCAGGCTCATACTTCAAGAAGAACCTTGGTATAATACAGAGTGACTGGTAACGACCATATTCCTTTGGAAGGTGCGGTTCCACTTTTTCATCATAAGTGGGGCATGAAATAAGTACAAGTCAAAGATAGCATCTGCTATAGTAATTGTAACTACTAACAATAAGTATGATATATGGCGGATGGGATGTAGCGACAAGTGGCGCCGCATAACACACTGGCGGGGTTCGAATCCCTGATCAAATCTCGCCCAGATCCTTCGGGCTCTCTCCCTGCAGACTTACTCGAAAGTATAAGAGTGACCTACTGGCGGGGATACTGCGAAGGCTGAATCGCAAGCAAAAACAAGCACCTCTGACTGAGAAAGGAAATAGGATGCATGGCGCACCCCAGGAAAGTACAGATTGACACCAAATGCTCTATCCTCTACAGTAATTATGATTTGAGATCACTATTATGCACTATTCGTTTTCTACGCCACGTTAACGTAGTGCGCTTCCAAGACTACGGTCAACCACTCTCCGCGTGCCGCCGAGTTTGTGGACCGTCTCTAATCAATGCGCCAGCGCCAATTGGTGCATATTCACGTCGAATCATAAGAAATGAGTGCGATCGATACGTAAAGCCAGCCTCGTCTTCGTAGGCGCATTCCGCGCAAGAGCGAGCTCCTGTGCTACGTTCACGTATTGATTGCGAGTTGCTACGGCGTTCACACAGATCATTGGGCCATTAGAAGCCTTTCAATTGTCTGTCGCCAAGTTACTACGATCTTTAATTGCCGAGAAGCACAGCTGTTCCACTGGAGATTTCCAAAGCTTTCATCATGTCGACTTCAGCAACGCTTTGTATGGTGGATTCTATCGTCTGAACATTCAAAGCCTGACCATGTCCGCTTAGGCAATCTGTTGACGGCATTGCTGTCCCAGCATCAAGCGTCGTTGTTGTGCAAAAAACCAATCAATGCGAAGGTTGTGACCACGGTAATTGGCCCGATTCATCAAGGAAGATGTTAATGGTTCAAAGAACATGCTTAAGAAGTTTTTCGTACTTTTTTCTTTGCCTGTTATCTCCTTAATGTCAGAAATCTATCTAATGTGGATTAGCTTAATCCTAAAAAAGAAGTTGAAAAACTACGGCTACAGTACTTATGATTCATCCGAGTAGTAGTGTTAGAGCAAAAAGAGTCGGACCAAGCACGGCACGTGTGACGACGAGGCGCTGACCGTTGAGCCACGGTAGTACGTCGAAGTGGAATCAGTCAAATTAAACTGAATAAGCGAGTGATTTGGAAAAGAACATGGCTACTTGACATCGTGTTGATGACCGTGATCTTATAGGAGAGTAGTGGCTAAAATGGCCAGGTAGGCTTGTCACTAATATACTACACGGCCAGGACTTAGCCGCTGAGGCAGGCAGTATTGCGTGATGCGGCGGCGCAGAGACAAAGTCCGAGTGAACACCCGGACTTAGAAAAAATCGAGGCAGTGCCGACCGCGACGCGCACGCCCGTAGAATGGACTCGCGACGCGGCTCCCAGGATACGGTAGTTAGCGGCAATTTGGCAGTGTGCCTGGTATTTTCCAACATCTTTCAAACTGTTTTCTGTCGCTAATTTGTAGGTATTGCTCCTGGGTCCTCAACTAGCATTTGCGCTGAAGTGTGCACCGCTCGTAAAAGTGGTCAACTCAAAACAACGCAAGCGCCGCAATATTGTAATGAAATATGGGCTCTATCAACTATTACAATCCCATAATATAAGTTTTATTTTTCGTCGAAACATCGTCTGTAGAGGTAATGCGATGCCTTGTTCAAGAAAATAATATTCATTTTTAACGGTGGCGCCACCTTGTCACGACCTTATTTTCACCAAATTCGGTGTAAACTTCTGTATAGGGGTTATTTGGTGTCCTGATTACGAATATGACATTCGTTTTGGCATTAGCGCTGTTTCAGCGCATATTTCCCGCTCTTCTGGGCTCTTTCACCCACACATAGTGCCTGAGACTAAGCTTAGGGGTAGACGAGGGATTCCGGGAGTGTGGTTCACTAGGACAGAAAGCGACTTTTTCGTTTCGCAGCGCGAAACATTTTCCGCTGCGGGAACCTCAGGTCCACCGCTGATCATCAGTGGACCCGAGGTTCCCGCAGCGAATCATCAGTGGACCCGAGATTCCCGCAACGAACAATGTTTCGCGCTGCGAAACGCGAAAAAGTCGCTTTCTGTCCTAGTGAACCACACCGGGACCCTGGGATGGGTGAACGAGGCACCGTGTGGCAAAAGTTAAAGCGAGTGAGTGACAGGGCGGTGATTAGGCCGATGTCGGGCTCTGCGAATCGCGCGATTCGCAAAGTCTGACATCGGCCTTAAATCACCCCAGAGCCCCCTCTTGCCGAAGGCTTAGTCCTGATCGCGATCTACACTGGAGTGGGCGCATACAAGCCGAAAATAGGCGCTACATAGCTCCAGCACCAAGGATGAATGTCATATTCGTATTCAGAACAATTATATCAATCAAGATCAATTATATAGATAGATCAATTATCGATAATTAACACCTATGCACCTAACACCTATGCATAGTTTTCATTGAATTTTATGATAACGATTGTCGTGACAAGGTGACAACAACCGGCGCCAGATGACGCCACCGCCGTAACCAGGGCATCAAATTACCCCTATGGGCAGGGGTGTGGTTCACTAGGACAGAAAGCGACTTTTTCGCGTTTCGCAGCGCGAAACATTTTTCGCTGCGGGAACCTCAGGTCCACCTCTGATCAGCAGTGGACCTGAGGTTCCTGCAGCGAAAAATGTTTCGCGCTGCGAAACGCGAAAAGTCGCTTTCTGTCTTAGCGAACATCACTCTATGAGCGAAGCTTCGACGAAAAATAAAATTCTGAGATTTTGGGGTGGTAGGGACGTTTCTTTTTATTGCATAATGGAGTTATATGAGATGCAAGTTTTTAACGTTCTCGAGTGTTACGTGGGTCGAGTGGTCATGCCGATTTTTCGCCGAGTTCCTCTTTACTGTGGCTAAGCCCTGGACAAAGAAAACTCCGGGTGGTGGGCACTATTATTGTGCCCAAAGTTCACTTCAAAAAAGGCGTGCTACTGTGTGATTGTCGTTGTCCGCAAATTCACCCTTCACTAGTCGAAGGTTGAGGCGACAGAATACGCGAAAGGAAGGTATGGCAGCTGTCGAAGTGCTGGTAAAGTACGTTGGAATGGAGCGAATAACTTTTCAAGAAGCAGTAAGTATACGGGCGAGACATGTATGTGGTAGAAGTCTAGCTGGCAAGTAGGTTCCTTTACTCGACGCCCTCAAATCTGTTGATACAGTATTAGAGGTCAGACATTCCATTGTGCTTATAATAATGGTGGATTTTGCCTCTTGTTACCATCATATTATATGAATGCTACAGAAAACTTTTGAGGACTTCAAAGTTTTTCTTTTATTTGCAAAGCGGAAGAAATCCTTGAATCTTATTGTTGCTGTGACCACATAGAAAGGCTGCAGAAAAGTTTCATTGGAAAAGCTTGAGTGGAACTTTCGACGTGTTTCCAAAGCGCATCAGCCCACTCCTGCAGATGGCGCGCGACACGATTAAAGAGTCGCAAGTGGTATGATGCGGATACGCTAATTGGGTGAACAGGGGTGATTCATTAAGCGGAACTCCAGGCCCACTCAATGATCACGGTGGACTCTGTTCTGTCCTAAAGCCAAAACCACATCCATTGCGAGGGGAGGGTGTTGGAAATTGGTCTAAGTTTCAATTCATTGAATCGAACGAGCCTGACTCCGCCTCATCACATAATATTCTACGTCATATACAGAAGAAAAAACTCTAAACGCCAATGTGAACATTTGCGTTCGTTCGGCGGCTGCGTCGCGGCTCCGCTGTAGAGCGCGTTGTCCTCGCTTGACGCATGAAGGCAACACCTTGAGTCACTAAGTGCGTTTCGGGGGTAGCGCACACCAAATATTCGAGTACTTTATTCGACGTCTCTAACGGTATTTGATAGTGGCGGGTCTCATCGTGAGGGGCACTATTGAGAGCGTCCTCCAATGCTACTAACGCACATTTTATGTGGAATCTAAGGCTAAGCATATGGAGGGAGAAGACTTCAAAGTAGAGGCTATTATTTTTTTCCATTACACTCGCAGGTCTTCAGGTATCTCTGTGATAGAGTCAAGCTCACCCCCCACCATAAAGTACAAAAACCGTATAACATACAAGGAAATCAAGAAAACTGGTGTAGGAATAAAAACCGCTTACAACTCGTAACTTCGAGGAACTCTTTGTGCCAGAGTGGCATCAGCATAGATGTCCAGCGCGCGCCTCCTACTGCACACCGGTGTTCTACTATCAGAAGACCCGATAGTGGAACAGTGGTGTGCAAAGCCCTAGAGCGAACATAACCTTTCCGTGACATGTTATTGTCGAGCAACATAGCCCGATGGAACTTAGCCACACACAGGAAGAACTTCTGCAGTACAGTATTGAGAGCAAATAAGGGAACCGTTGTAAAGACTACGGAGTTTTTGATGAGCTGTTTTACATCATCTATGTCGTCTCTATGTCCTGCAGACCAGTGTACTTCTCATGCCATTTTTATGCCATTGAAGTTTCACTTTCGTACGGTTTATTGTGTGGACGTTTATGGATTGGCTTATTACGCGACTCCGTCCACTTACCTTAATCCTCGGACACTATGATTCAGTGCTTGAAACTTGCAACAAAGGGATCCTCCAACTATACTGGCGTAGTTTGGTTCTTCTAGATGGTCATTTGCAGAAGTTTTGGCCCAGTTAGTATCTTACTTACTGCTTTTGCGGTGTTTTAGAAGTCGCTAAGTTTTTTCTTTGACGCTCAAAACCCCGCTCACACCCACATTATTTGGTAGACTGTGAGATCAGGTATTAGAATACGCACCAAAAATGATAGAAAGTCGTGATTGCGAGGTAGTCAGTTGAGTAGGAGACTGGAGATATGGTCTTCCACCTACTGACCAATCTATATAGATAATGACCAGAATCTTTTCGGGTCGCAAGTACTGTCTCACCATCCCCACTTATTATGGTCTTGGCTTCTAAACTAGAGGCATCTATGGCACATCGAACAATTGGTGCGGACACTAAATTCGTGCGAAAGTGCATTGAGCAACGCGTATAGCGTCTATCGCGCCAAGCAGAACAATCGCGCTCCGCAGCGGGAGCACCGCGTACCGCCAGCCGCGAACGGAAGCGCAACAATGAATCAACATTGGTCATATACGTTCTTGGTGATATCCGAGAGTTGAGGGTAGCGGTCACCAGAAGTGGAGTAACAACCTTGATAGAAAGCTAGTGGGTCAAGCTTCTCCTAATCATCCATTCGCTGGATATCTAAGGGCAAGCATGCATAGCCAACCAGCTTATCCGCTGCACTCTAATCCCTTAGATCGGACGTCACTTTCGATGACACGTCCGTATGGTTTGTGGTGGACTGTTTGCTTCTTTCGAAAATGTCTTTCCGCAAACTCTTTGGATATCTATGTTATCTCTCTCGATCTCGTGTGGCACGGAAACTTGTATTCTGGAAAGGAGCACTGTTTTCGTACTAGCTAATATTGTCAGCTGTGATTGTCCAAGAAACTGCCCCTGAGCCTAACGCATAACCATTTCTAGAATCTTGTTAATATTTCAATGAAAATCGATGACTCTCTATATACTGCGTCGCTGGTTATATACCGCCTGCGAAGCAAAAACGAGCAGTGAGGAGGATGGCAAGAAGTTCGTGCTTCATGAGTCTTTCATCTGCGGAGGCGCGATATAGTAAGAGTAGTTCTTGGCAAAAATTCTGTGGGAAAGTGTAGGTCGGATGGCCAAATTGCTTCCACCTTCCACGAGGTTGAGTGGCATGATTTGTCGCCGTTTAGGTACTAGCCAAACTTTGAGAACAGTTTCTGTATTTCACGGGAGATACGTTGTGATCGCCTTCCAGCTCGAGTTCGAGTGTAGAATAAATGCATATCGGCCGTGCGATTCTGCGATCGTTACTTACGTCGTTCTACTCTATCACCAAGTAACACGTCGGCGAATGAATGATCATGGATTTTGAGCCCATACAATGTTCAACTGACCTTATGTGTCGCTCCGAGCATCAGGAAACGTCGAACCTTATTGCCGCCTTCCCAGCTCGAAGCTTTTTTTCGCAGCGAAATCCCAGGTCCACCTGTGGTCAGCTTTGGACCTGAGGTTCTCGAGAAAAATCCTGCACCGGCGTGGAAAGGACGTGTTTACCCGAGCTTTTTTTGAATATAACCGCAGCAGTGCGGTTAGGTCCCATGTCTTCTTACCTATTCGGTTACCTTTACCAGCTATGTTTAGTCCACGTGCGAATGTACTCTCGATCTCGTATTCACATATCGCCATTAGATCACTTTGTAAGTTCTAGCACCGTCGGCACTTTCTAGCCGCAACAACGGCGCATCTGTGATTTCCTGGGCTATTATACCCCACCCCCAGCAGGCAGCTCTTTGACAAGCCCTCGTTTGAGGTTGTTGCTTCAGGTCATATATTCTATACACATGGAGCATACCTAAACGGCCATGTTTCGCCATGTTCTGGCCTTAAGAGGTGCCGGAATATGGCATTTTTCCAAACACTGACTTCTAGTGGACATTCGACTTTATCGAGCGTAATTTTACTTTTTCCCAGATGGAGCGCGCCTTAATTTCCTCTGTGGATTGTTTATAGATGATAAGAGTTTGACATCTCGTTACCTGTTGGTACCTATCGATCTACTGGTCAGGGGTATTACGACTCGTGTTTTATACAGAAAATTTCAGATCGCAGGCAGATGACACATCGAAAATTTGTGCCAGACAGCTTCTTCTTTGCGGTTTGGAACTTAAGGTTGGTAAATGGATATGCAAAATAATAATATATAGTTGATATGCAAATCCATTTCACAGCAAAATCGTGGCCATTCACTTAGACGAATTGCTCTGCAGCGTAACTCATAGTTCCTGATCATTTAGGAGTCACTTCGCAATGCATGCTCCGATGACCATACATCGTCGAAGAGATAATGTTGAATACAGGATTAGGAAGAGAGACTGTCATTGCCATACTTGAAAAGCATGGGATATCGCGAGGGGACGTATGGTGAGTTCCCATTTAAAGCTTTTATTCCCCTTTCAATAAAGTTATTATTGCGTAAGAAGTAAATGAGCCTTGGAAATTTTTGTCCGAATTAAGCTTCACATCTCCAGCAAGACGACAGAAGATCACATATTGACTACCAAAATCGGCGAGTAGCCGATTTAAAGGCGGAAATGTTACGTTTGATGTACCGAAGCTTGATATATCAGAAGTGCGTAACGACAGACATTCTCCTGAAAATGCTAGCCCGTAAGTTTTTTTGTTCCTATAGTGTCTCATACTGATAGATAAGATAGTGCGTATTAGCAAGTCCTAAATGTGCGGCTCACGTTGCATTCGAAGAAATCCCACATAGTCCCAAGATTCAGCAAATTCACCGCGCTACACCTCATCGTGAAGCCGTATGTTTACATTTACACTTTTTGTTCTGTTTATGCCCGTCACGTGATTTTGTCACGTGATCTGCCCAAATCGCTGGTCCTAGTCGCTAAAGTTGCGAAGTTTAATATTTTTGCCTAAGAACCCGTACTCGTAATGAATTGACTATCGAGAAATATATCGTGGTTTATAACCTTTTCTGTAATCGGTGTGTTAGAGCAGAACTGGCTCATTTCACGTGACAGAGTCCTCGAGTGGCAAAAATCGAGTAAAAGTGGGGTGATAATCGAAAAGTGCTGTACTTTCTTGATTTCCTTGAAGTGTTGTGTAGGCTGAGCGAAGCGCAGTACTTGTGGAAAACAGCCCACGTGAGGTTACCGATAGTTCAGCTGAGATAAGCGACTTGGCAAAGCGGGTAAGTTACTTAGTGAAACCATTTTTCTGTCACTCCTTTCTATGACTGCGTGGCTGTTTCATGGAAGTGCTTTAACCCTGTATGTGTTTCAGTTTGGTGCTCGTCTGTATCATGATGCATCGCTTGTTGATCAGCTTCGAAATGTCAATAGAGAGAAGTCTTTCGTGGAGCAGTTACGCGACCTATTATCGTGCAACAATCTGCCATCACGAATTGTCAATGCAGCCAGTATATTAAGTCATTCCTTCCTGGTACAGTTAGGTTGGTATTTGTACACTGCAGCAATTCTTCAAACTCAATGAATTAAAACAAACCCTGAATGCGATATTTCCAGCAAATCCAGCCCAAGCTGCCACCATATGTAAGGAGATCGACGTGCAAACTTCAATTCGGGTGACGGAGTTGCCGGTTTTAACTAAAGAGGTAATCGTCGTTCCTCTGAATGCGTATTTCAAAGCTGATGACTGCCTCTCAGTTGCGCGATAATGCTACTGATGTGCCCAATGGAACTCTAACTCAATTACTATCCACATGTCTGAGGATCTCGGTGGCCACCTATCCATTCCTGAGGCGTTCACTGCAACCCAGGAAGATGTGTCATCGTCTGCCTTCAGCTCTGACCAAAGTGCAGGTCAAGCCGCTGGAAGCATGGTCAGGTAAGTGTTGCAAGACCGTTGCGTATTTATGTGTTAAAGCTTTCACCGTTTTACATTTTTCACCATTTTAGCAGAGCGCAGACTATAATTCCTTTCGGCCATGATGGAAGCGTGATAATCACCCCAATCAATAAACTGAATTCGAGTCTCGGAACTTCTAGACAATTCGTTACCATTCGTTGTAGGAGCGTATGATTCACCACTTCGAGATGCAACAGCTCCTTCTAGTGAGTTCACGAAACGACGGGTCATTTTATTTTTATTTTCAAATGGGAACCATTGCCTCGACTCTTCTATTCACTCTTACCATGCATAGGTTGCATCTTGCTTTTCCAAACTTTTTTAGTTGCACATTCTCATGAAGTTTTTGTTGAAGAACCCGCTGGTAAAGCAAGTCCACGAACTCCAAGGGTGTCAGAATCACCATGGCGACCGTCTTCACGTCGTCTTCATCTTGAGGAAGTAGATATCTCTACCAGTCAAGAGACCGATTCCATAGGTATGTGAATGTTGCCGGAATTTCTTTTCTTTTTGTCATTTTTTCGCTTCATACTGTTTCTGAACCAATTCCTCTCTAGAAGTGATCTCAGTGAGCACTCCTCAAGCACGTCGCCGACTGGTTGAATGCTCTAGTACTGCTTCAAGAAAGAACATTAGTGATGCGAATGACGAAAACGGTATGACTTCATGCGACTCGGAGGATTGACTCATGCTATCCTAATGATATTATTGGCTATTCAGGTGTTGTAGAAGACGAGCACTCAACAAAAGAAAGCTCTGATTCGAGTCATCAGGATGAAGAGCACACATACAACCAAGTATCTCAGATAGCTAGTGAATAGCAAAATTGCCTTCATTTTGATAACAATATTTTTTTATTCTACTTACTTAATCATTCTTCTATTGTTGAGTTTTTGTGATTCAGTTTATTCGATTGATATGTAATGTATCGCTAGTTAGCCGTAGTCGTCCTTGACCTGTGCTGTCTTCGCGCACCATTACATTGGTTACGGTAATCATTTTATTTGAATGGTACTATCACTTCTGTACCCAAACATATCTCTCATGTAAGATCTCTATAGGAAAATGGTCTCTCATTATAGACATCGTCTGTTCACTTATGTTTTTGTTGACCTGCAATAAACGTTGCTGTAAGAATAGAACAATCTTGGGTGTAATGTTAAATTCATTTCCATATCATTGCATTTATTCGCCTGTGCACGCGAAGATTCAAAATATTGCAGCGGCTGCTGAACGGCCAGCATTCCGGGATCGTAGATCTTGGCCTCTTTAGAGATTGGTCTTAAGTTGTGTTCAGATGCACTGAGGATAAAGGTTTCGGTATCATCTGAGTTGTCGAGTGCCTGTTTCCGACCTTTGCTAGCCTCGCCTTTACATACTTCATTTTACGCTTTTCTTCCAGTCTTACTGATTTTTGTAATTTAGAGTCAGGCCGCTGAGCCTCGCCACGTAGGGCGAGCACGGGGCTGCTATAATGAGCGGCAGTTGTGGAATAGAGAAGTGAGTACAAAAAGTTGTTTGCTCTTTATTGTAGTGATCTTTTATCTGGGAGCCTGCAACGACTCAGCTCTGATTGTCCGGTAGTATTCGCTCTCAGAGTGATAAATATGGTTGGTAGTAAAGAGTGAACTTTCTACCGATTTTCTTGAAAGTCGTCGAACGTCATTAGCTTTCGCCAAAGCAGTTGTGAGTGCGATCGCGAAGCCCGCACAAATAAGCAAGAAAAACTAGTTGTTTTCTGCTGAGTCAGTCTCAGTTAGTCATTCTTCAAACAAGAAGTTATCAGTCGTCTCGAATCAACGTGATAAGCGTTAATGCTGACTGCTACTTCGTTCCTATCGTTCTTCAGCTGATACTTCAGCTGCAGGACATAAACGTGAGGGTCGAGAATTTAATGGATGTAGCTTATCTTCTTCTTCTATGCCGGTAATACTTCAGTTCCATTAAGGTTCGTAAATGAGTTGCGCAAGAAACAGAATTTGATACTCTTTCTCTCCTATTGTTCTCTATGAAGTTCTGAGCTTGTCTATGAAGACGAAAGAAGTTTTGTTTTCAATTCTCAAAAGTCTGCTTAAGGAGTTTTTTGTTTTCAAGAGAACGAAGTAGCAGTTGTCTTGGGATGGAAGAGGGCATCTCGAAGAGAATAGTTCAGAAAGATTATTGTTTAGCAATGCAGAGGTTTATAAAGACTTTTAAAGGTTTCTGTCACTCTTGTAAGGACCGAGAAAGATGATTTAGCGAAGTATCTCTGTTTTTAGAGAGGGGGAAGGGTGGAAGAAATAGCAGTTTGGCCTGGCTCTATTCTCCCTTTCAGCCCGTCACTTTACAAGAACAAGCGTGCGGCTAAAGGCGAAGCATATGAGCCTACGATCTACGACACTGGGCAAACGAACGATATCGCACGCTGTACGTTTTCAAGCTCACCATTACCGTGTTCAGCATTGCTGTTGAGGCAATCGTTTTAGGTAGGAATAGTGCCTAGCGTGGTTGTGTTCTGGCATATGGTCACAATATCCCATCGTGACTTACAATTTTACCTGATGATCGTATACGGCTTGTTTACCACGTTGTTGTTCTCGTCTTCCACATGCTACCACGTTTGCGAACTGAAATTCAGGCCCAAGCGAGCGTGAGTGCCTCGACTTTTAGTTCCAACGTTAAGTTGCAGATTACACCGGAACATTTCAGGCAGACGAGGTTGCGGTACTATCTTCATATATGCGACCGCGCCGCTATTTATTTATTCATAGCAGCCTCATACACGCCATGGCTAACGCTGCGACATTGTGGATATCCGGGTCTGAACTTGAAGTGGATGATCTGGGTGTTTGCATTTCTTGGAATACTGTATCAATATAATTTCCACGAAAGGTATATAACTTTCTCGAGAGATTCTTCGGTTCAACGGAATCCTCCTTTGCAGATTCAAAACACTAGAAACACTTCTTTACATATTTTCGATCGTGGTGTCCGGACTACGATCTGTGGCATTTCACTATGGTAAGTTATGAATGGTAGCTATTTTTTGGAAATTCTTCCGAAAAATTTATCAGACAATTGTTAACATGCATCATGTCCTACAAATATGAAATTATATGCGATCTTTTGCATCTTCAAAAAAAGAACTGAGGATTCTGGAATGGTGGTTCTGTTAACTCGTGCTTTGTTTTGATTGAGAAAAGTGGTAACCCTTCCAGAATGACCGCACTGGTTTGGAGTGGATGATCGTCGGCGGAATAGTCTATATAACTGGTGTTGTGTTTTTCAAGTTGGATGCTCTGTTACCATTTGATAGGTGCTATTTGGCACGTATTTGTTCTCATTGGTAAGTTGCTATTCGTTTCTATTTCGAGGGTCGAGGTCACCACAATGATTTTGTTCTTTCTTGAGGTGCTTCTTGCCACACTTACGCCGTGTATTCCACTTTGCTCGGACCAGACCCGAATAATCCAGTTCCGGATCTGTCACATTTGGAACTATAGCCTTAGGATATGTAAAACTAGAGGGCACCACTTGGCCCGATAAGCGCCTTCTCCAGGGCAGAGATGTACAGCTTCAAAGGCTATGTCTGCTTATTACAGTATGTTTATGCTGAAAATTTAGCACTTTAGCGTAATAGGAATAGAGTTAGTATCGATTTTTGATATTTTATTTTTTAGGAACTCATGTATAAACAAAGCCCAAAACAAAGATGATTTTCTAGACCAAGCTTGCTGCGGAAATTGCAATTTATTATACTAAATGTATATGAAAAAGCTGATAGTTGTATGAACCAAGTGCTTTCACATCCTCACCTTTCAATGTGCTGCTATGATCTCTGATTAGGATTTCTATGATAGGATGCATCTCCAATTATAGAAATCCTCATCTTTTCGGATTGATGTCGCCACTCCGCCGTGAGTCGATTCGTAACCGCCTCGCCGCCGCGCGCGTCGCAAGCTTTCATTCTGCATAGCAGCTTACTAAAGATGTACCAGTTCGAGTACGATCGCATTTTTATTAGAGCCGTCAAAAGACTAGAGGATGCTGGCCGTCTTTTGTCAATAAGCACGTATGTTCTTCAATATCTGCTGTTTTTTACACATTGAATACAATAGGGATGTAGTCTTAGCATGTATTGAGATGTTTATTAGCTGTTCTAGATAAGCATTGCGGTGCACCGTGAAAGCTCTCAATTCATAACAAAAGATTCCTGGTATGTAAAGTAAATGACGGCGAACCGTTTGTAGTATTAAGTAGGTTATAAAGTTAAAAGTAGGTATGTCGCTGTTCCGCGTTATACTTCACGGCGTATGGAAAAAGTAAGGAAGGCGGAAAAAAACTGAAGTCATTCTCAATCGATCCTTTTGATAAAGGATCTGGTGATTGCTCTAATTTCCGGTTTTCTTCGCATTTTGGTGCAACCGTTGCTATCCCTGTGTTATTTTCGTAATAATTCTTCTTGAGATTTATTTGTGCTCATTTGTATTCATAGAGTGATAGGCCTAGGCTCTTGCCATTGAATGATCTTGTGCTTGCCCAATGTACTCGTGATCTGATGATTTTTGAGATTCTTTGGTGGAAATGTGATATCCTCGTTAATAAATTTGTCAAGGTAATTTACTGTATCTGGCAGAAAACTATGGTATATGCGTGAGTGTATGGAAGCAACTATTAGTGATTCATCTATGCGCTTTTTCAAAAGAGTCGATTACTCACGGGTCATAAGGCGAAAAGATCAGATTCAAAGTCGTGTTGTCCATGGCCCATTATCAGCGTTCTTATGATAACATTTGCATCTTGGAGCGCGGCAATGGCAAGTGTCAACAAAACAAAACTGAAACTTAGCCAGTTGTTGACTGCTGAAGCTTTCGGCTCAATGTTTCCACAACAGGTAACTTATTCATAGTGCCTGCTTCATCTGTGTGAGTGCTGGATTCTTGGAGTTTGAAGAAATGCAAACCTATCTCCCTTCCCCAGGAGCACGAGGCCACCATACAATTCGCATGAACAACCACGTCATCACCGATGGCGTGCTCGTTATTCGCCACGGCCTGCCGCTTTACGACACGCGTTGGATCTAACCTTCTTAGCCCAGAGTGTCAGCGACTTGAAGAGGGCAAACCGATGAGAGTCACATCAATGCGAAACTCAGAGGTCAAAAGAATACCCTTGTTTTTTTCACTCCTGTGGGCGCTTTTTCATGGGTAAACTCCGCCACAACCTAGCAAAATCAGCTCGTTTCCACCACCAACAAATAGAGGCATCTTCATAGCTCTTCTTCTTAACCACGCTATCAGTGTTCCACTGATCTAACGTTTGTTGGAAAAGGGGCAAGTCGCCAAAACCACAACCTGAGGTACTTCGAATAACACCACCCGACCGCTCTCTATAACCCCGGGGTCGTTTCGCCTATGGACAAAATGGAACTTTAACGCTTTTCGAGCGAAACTTTCTCGCTGCGAGAACAAGGTCACTTCCTGGCGGTATTCAATCCTTCCCACCGGGGAAATCCCCCTCTCTGCGTCACTACCTCCCTGTGAAGCACTCTTTTTCCTGTAGGGTCGTGCGCTGCCTAATGTCTGGAAGTCGAGAACGATCTGGTTAAGCTGTACGAGATGCGAAGTTCCCTATGCCGCAACCCTTTTGTTCCTACTTGAGGATTGAATCAGAGAGGATATATCCCCTCGGCCCGGCAGATCAGTGTGACTTGTGGACCGTAACAAAAAAAAAACTTAGCTGCAGAAAGCGAAAAAGTCACTTTCGTCCTGGAGAACCAACACCTCTAGAACCCTGCATACCCTCTTTGGAGATCACCAACACGACCCCACTGAACTTTGTCAGAGGAACATCTGACCTGTTTCCAGACGTTTCGTGAGGTTAAACTTTGAAACTGCTTTCGGGGGTCCACAAGCTAAAGCATGGTTCCTAGAGACATAATGAGCGATACCGGGGTGTTTTTCCCACGGAAATTCGATTATGACCTCGAAACAAGACCCGGACGAGAAAAGAAATAAACACGGGGTCCAATCGTCCACACATGTGACGGTTGTTTTGATTTTTCAACATGGAAACATAATTTCATCGATCAACTTGATTACAAAGAGCATGCCATTAACGAACTTTGCCCGAAAATTTTTGACCCGCCTAGGAATTTAGGGATGAGTCATTTGGAACAAAGATGTCTGTGGTCACAGACCGCCTCCAGCCGGACAGCATCATCGGTTTGCTATCGATCGCGTCGGACGACCTTGCACTTGGAGCAGGGAATTCACTTCGTCATCCCAGGAATCACTCATCCGTCTATGAATTGCTGATAAGGTCTATGTACTGGTGAACTCTCTGATGCATGGCACTTCCATTAACGCCACTGAACTACGAGGCAGCGGAATTCAGTTTGTATTTCAGGTTTGTTGTATTTTAATTGTTATATTCGTAACGTAAACAGATTAAAAAAAAACATCTAACTTCCTCCTAATTAGCGCTGAGGTATGGTGTGAGGGTTTTCCCGCACAAGGGTGAAACTATGGTGCTCCACGATGATGAATTTCAGTTGAAACTTGAAGCGTTCCGATGTTACGTATATATCCCACCCTGCGCCCGTGCGATTGCGTACAGCAGGCGATTACAGTACTCTCACGGCTAGTTCCGCTATCGTTGGCACCCTGTTTTCGATTGAATAACTACGGGTAGAACTTGTGATGAGAGGAAATAATAAGACTAGATGACTTATATCTAGTCTAGCAGTTTTTTGCATATATCTTCGAGACGTCAGCAGTGAATATTTGTGGTAGTGGATATAAAAAATTCCTATCTCCTATGCAGCAAAAGTGGAAGCGAACACTGAACATAACATTTGATGCAAAATGATTGGAATCGTGGAGAACAGTTTTCCCATTTATAGCGCAATAGTTAAGCTTTTGCTCACAGCTTACGTAAAGAACTGCTATTATCTTCCAACGCAGAAGCTGTAAAATCCCACACAAGGTTGGCGAATAAAAGCGCCAAGTCATCATGCTCCTCCCCACCCCCTGCTGGTCCCCCTAGTACTAGGCTGTGAGTCTAGGGGGATGTGTAAGCAGTTTTCATTACCCTCAAAGTTCACCCTCTTCTCCAAGGCTCAGTCAGCGTGAGCATGCCCCTTTTGAGTACACTAGCGCCTCAAGAAATTGATTCGCAACGGTAACGCAAACGCTCCTGTAAGCGGATTATCTCCAATGGAACTGAATTACATTTTACGGCATCTTTTACAGAAAGAATGAACATATCCCGTGCCTATCATCTACAAGTATGCGCTCTCACTTTCAGCACAAGTCATCCTCACAAGGATACCTCCGTATCAGATTTCTATGTCTATGGAAATATCTACAATTGCGAATAAATCAACTACAAACTCGAAAACAAGGTGGCCGTGAGACGCAACTACTAAGCAGTTCATGATGAAAACTACCTCACGACTCTCTCTTCCCTCAGGTGCCAAGTAAACTTCGTCCCCTCGAGTCCCTCACTGCACTGGTACAATGCATAATGGCATCAATGATTGTTCTAGTGCGGAACATTATAAATACACTAGCACATTACCCTATTTTGCATGTTAAGAAGTAAATGACATGAGGAATTAGAGTGGTTTCCAGGCGCGCAATGGTTTTCCAACGATATGTAGAGCATCTCTCGGTACCCGTCACCTATCTGAAAGGAGAAATGCATGGCTCAACTCAGTACAATATTCGGAGCTGTGCTAGTTATGAATTGATTAGTCTTCCCATTTCCTTTCATCACGAGCCCCGCCTGTGATCATCAGTTACAAATGTCAACGCCAGTAGAACTAGGCGTGGGCGTACTGTAATCGCTTGCGGTACGCAATTGCACCGGCGCAGGGTGGGATATATACGTAACATCCGTTCATAATAGATGTCACCCATTCAAAACCTCAAAATGCCCACAAATTGGCAAATATGATATTTAAATGTTTCACAAGAATGTAGGACAGAGAGCGACTCTTTCGCGTTTCACAGTGCGAAACATTTTTCGCCATGCAGGCAACAGGTACCGTGATAATTGGTAGACCCCTTTCTGTCCCGTTTTGATAAGAAGAACCACACCTCTCGATCCCGATGCATATCAATGCGTAGGGCCGAGCGGAGTGGAAATACTGGGGAAATGACAAAAAATTCATATCTTACCCTCAATTTATACCTCTATTTCGTATGTACTATGCAATAGCACCTTTGTATTTTGGACCTTCGAGAATCCTGGCCTAATTTTCGCGAATAACCCAGGAAATGGACACGATACTGAATGTTCCGTTGATTCAACTTGAACAGCTCAATTTCTCTTGACAAGACAAGCGGTTGACAACTCTCGTGTGTTGTAGGCTATTCATCCTGAGAAGAATGCGCCCCTTCTTCATCATGTGTTTTTAAGACTGCCACACTTGCACACAGGAAGATTATCTCTCAACTCACTTAAATTTTTGTAAGATGAAGTAACCTCATGATTCTATTGTAGCCAGTTATCAGTTACACGGATGGTGATACCCACCAAAACTTCAAAGTGCGAAAGAATCGGTCGGCGAAATCTGCGATTGACAGTATCCCCTTTCCGTTGCTGGGACGCAGTTGTAAGGTAGGGCTTCATGCCAATGCTGCTCCTGATACTCCGTTTCGTATGTCACCTAGTAATAGCTGTTACTGTTTCTTCGATATTAAGGTAATGATCGCGCTGGTTAAGACCGATGTCAGACTTTGCGAATCGGCGATTCGCTAGCGAATGGCTCGAATTCGAAAGTATAGTCTGTTAAGGCCGATGTCAGACTTTGCGAATCGCGCGATTCGCTAGCGTCTGCGGTCGCGTCGCGGCCAGTGAATCACTCAATTGGCTGGTACCGCAACGCGACCGCGGACGCTAGCGAATCGCGCGAATCGCTAGTAGCGAATCGCGCGATTCGCAAAGTCTGACATCGGCCTAAGAGTGGAGAGATTGAAAAGTATTGTGATTGATAGAAAGGCCCTCTCCACCAATTGATGATGTTTCCACCACGATACGATCACTGCAGTACCCTCCTAGCCACGCGAGTCGAAAGTCGTTTATTATTCTGCTTCACGTTGCGTTATCTTTTACATTATTATTTGATTTGTTTTATATTATTTGATTGTGTGTTTCTAGTATCTGGGTAGTGTACCTGTAACTGCGGCTCTGCATGAGATGACCGCCGATATGCGACCACTCGTCGTTAAGTGAGTGCGTCTCTCTAGTTTTATTCATAATTGATGATCTGAAGTTATGAGAGTCTCATCCCGGCAAGGGGCATGGTGGTGTATTGCGCGCCCCGGACAGTGTTTTCAATTTTTGCACGGGCGGAAATCTCAGGGTGAATAACCCTTTCGCTTACGCCAACCCTGGAGCTTTCTGCCCTGCGAAAATTGGGATTATTGTAAGCGGCATCGACATTTATGCACCTCTCTCCTACTGGAGTGACTCCGATATACGCATCTTTACGAGCTGTATTCTTTTCACCGAGAGTGATAAACATGGTGCTCGCAGGATTGTACAATTCCTCCTCAGGTCCGAGACGCAATATGAACCGTGGTATTTGTAGCTTTTAATATGTACAATATGCTCGACTCTCAGTGTAGTTAGGAAGAGAAGGGGTGCTCGGTGAGAAGACTCCCATGGCCTTTGAGAGAGGTTTAAACACGTTATTTCCAAACGTACGCATAGTTCACCCACTGCCGAAGCTTTTCCACTTCCAAGACCAGGTTACTGTAGTCGACATGTCCATTGCACAAGTACTGTCTCCCATAACTGCACAGCTTCTTATTCTTATCTCGATACAATCGGACCTGGCTTATAAGTTGGATGATTTGATGCTGCAGTTACTTCAAGACCGGCACCGGCGATAACTTTTGCGATCAAATGTAATTTCTAGCTGGTCCTCGATTTTCAACAGAAGTTGGTTGCAAATGGTGTGATTTTGGTTGAAGATAAAGGATTGCTTCGAACCTGGTTAAGAGATCCATTTTCCTTGCTGATGTCAAACTAGATGGCCGACATCATACCAACAAACATTTACTTGGTTGCTAATGCGTTGCATAGAAACCAGAAGATGTGGCTGTATAAGTAACGCTCTTTCACGAAAGCAGATGATGATGATGATGATGATAGTGCCATCATCTAACATGCTTATGGTATCATTCAGCTACTTGGTATTAGGGGCCTCCACAAAGGCGGCGGTTATCACGGATAAACCCTTGCTGGCCGTCAGGAACGCTCCCTTCACCAGGAAAGGGCATGACTTGGGCTTCTAAGGGTCTAGCTTCTTTACAAGTGGCAGATTTCTCCCTCTTGAGCTTGTCGTACCACCTGCCTTTAACTCCACTTTCAGTTGTTTGCTCATTTTCTCTTATTATTTCTTTTTTCACTTGTATCGAGTTACTGCTTTACAGTTATAACGTCCCATGATTGCTCAATTTTGATGCAGCATTCGTTTAGTTCCTCGGCGAACCAAAGGTGACAAATCATCAAATCGAGCTGAATATTTCTACTAAATCGCTGACTATTATTCATTCTGATGTGAGGGAACCTGAAAGACTAAATCGATTGATTGCTCGGCATAGCATTGAGCTTGTTTCGTTTGCGGCACAAGGGTCTAATGTAAGAAGTCAAAAATGTTTTTTTTTGTTATTTCAACTTCTGTTCTATACTGTTTATTACTTTAACCTCTGGTTTTGAATTGATATTTGGTTTGTGTTCGGAGGATTTAGCTCCAAATATTTCAGGAAACGAACACTGCTGATATGTTTGGATATATAGCGAAGCTTAGGAACGAAACTGATAGACGTTGTCATGTTTTTCAGTTCAGAGACGTTAGTTTTTTTGCGGTTTGATTTCTCTTCCTTCCTTTGCTGTGGTGTATCACCTGAAATTATGCGTTGCATGGTATACAGTAAGAGTTCACTCGCGACGTTGCGCTTACTCGCAGTTCATGTTTAAGTGTTAAGTGGAGACACGCTGTCTCGCTAAGGACATCGAACACTGTTTGGCACGCTCATACACTGCATATGCTTCCGCTACGGAGTACTATACCAGTGCGTACGGTACGAATAGGCGCAGTACTTGTCACCTGCTGCACCGGAAGCGGAAAGATCCGCAGCGTGGCGTCTGATAGCCTCAGCAGAAACATTCAGTAACCCACACTCATTTTGGCTCCTGGTCGCGACGTCGCGCGGTGACCTCCTGTCAAATGAGGACTGATGCAATCAGTCGATGAGTGGACAGTCACCAAGCACTAGTACTTCTCTTATTGCATGGTGTGGCCACTACAAATACAGACAGACACAAGTATCTGAAATTTCTATTTGCAACTCTAATTTGAATCGTCAAGACTGCGCATGGAGCCGCGTCTGTAATAAGTTTTAAGAATGGTTAAAGTAGTCACGATGCGGCTACGATCGGATGCGGACTTTTATGTGCAAGTATACTGCTGAAAAGTTTAAATGATGCTTCACATTTCTATTTCCTTCAGGTACCAAGAGTAATGCACATCATTGATGATGCTATCCGTTTGGCCACGCTCGACATGTCGCCTCCCATGGCGCCACCCATTCAACCCACCTCTGGCATAGTTAATGTAAGCATGATCTGTTGGATGTACAACATATGGTTTAGAAGGGCTTCGAAATTTTGGTTTTGTTTAGATTGACCGATTGATCCAACGTTCGCCCAGGAGCCTAAGCGACAGCCTCTGGCGCCTTCACCTCGGCCAGCTAATAGGAATCACATTCCTGATCGGCCTTCCCCAGAACCTGGTGGTAAGCACAGGTCGTTTCGATAATGACATCATCTTTCATGAAATAAATTCATTTAAGGGTCATGTTCAAGAGACGATCCGAATGGCCTTCTTGGGTTGGATTTGTGCGACAAGCCATGGTTCCATGGTGAACTTAATCGTGCGAGTTCTGAATATCTTTTACAGAAAGATGGTGATTTTTTGGTTAGGTGAGTCAAGAGGCATTGGTACAAGATATTTCGTAGCTCGGACTTATCCCTCTTCATTGTTCTTACGTTTTGAACATTTGAAATCAGTTATAATGTTCCACTTGCTGAGATGCTACTAAGACGTAAAATTTGGTCTTTCGGCCTTTTCATGTTTAAGGCATGCCTTCTTTAACGTAATGATTTTTCTAAATTAGTGGAAAAAGCGTGGGGTAGCTAAAAATTGAAAGTTTTCTTTAAATATGGATTGCTATTTATTCCTCCTTTAGCAATAAACAAACTAGCTTTCATAATAAACTCTTTCCTCCTCAAAGAACAGATTCTGGTGTGGGGCTTTTCACACGCTCATCAACTCTCACATCCTTTACCGTCGTTCCTTAGTTCCTGGCTTTCCTTTTTTGCCGGTTTGCCCCTATAAATTTAAAACCCTAAACCCGGACTTTTCTCTGCGTACTATGTTTGGGTCCACTACACATGGTCGACTGGGTGTTATAACGCATAGTGCGGTGTGGATGTCGTCCTTGCTGCCCCTGAATGGAAGGGATAAGCCGAGCGCAACGAGCGTGCGTTGTCTAGCTCTGGCGGCGCACCCAGTATTGGCCGTTTCCTACAAAGTTCAAGCATATGAAAGCATGTTGCAGCTACCAGCTAAGCTTTTGTTTCGCGTGTCTTATTATTGCTTGTACTTTCAGAACAAGTGCAAACTCGCCGGGACAGTTCATCCTGGACGGAATGGAACAAGGGAAGCATCGTCATATTCTCCTTATAAATGAGGGGGTGGTATGTTTCACTTGGTTGTTAAACTGATTCCTCGTTATTTAGCCCGGCGGGTTGTCTGTTGGCAATGGCATCATGAGCAGTTTTCTCAGAAAGCGTAGGTTATTCGAGCTTGGGGAGTGTAGTTAGTTACGGGGGGGGCATTCTCCTCGCTGGCGTATAGTGAGTCAGTCTTTGCCTTGGATTCATGGCAAGCCTAAGTTCGTCCCGTGTGCAACCAAGCTCCCTGTGGAATGTTCGAGTTCACACGCAGTCCCGTAAAAAATTCTTCATCACGATGCCTCTCCCTGCCTAATATGCAGATAGACCCCAAAATTTCGTTTGTCAATCTACGTGCCGCAACTTTTGTATCTTTTAACGCGCTTTGTCACTTCTCTTAATCGAGCTTTGGGTGGGTCTTTGCTTATTCTCACGATGTTAACAGATCAATTTCACGCCGTCTCCCCGACCACTCATCCGGTTGACGCTACTGGCGCTGAGATTAATCCGGAGGGGGCGCAGGTCAATAACGTGTTCCCTTCGGAAGTCTGCACTTATTCATTACCACTATATAGTAATTGATACCGATAGCTACTCAAGAATCTACAGTATACTTATTGAATCCTATTTTGAGGTAGTGTCTTTTGGCATTTTTGATTTCAGTCTTATAGAACGGTGCTTTCGTCATAAATATGCAGTTACTGAGAGTATTTGATTTTCATTTTGCCCGAGTATCACTCTGACTTTCATAGCAGTTAAATGCTTGACATGTACAGTTCATTCGTGTCTAGTCTGTGCCATGCGTACTTGCTGACGGTTTTGCTCACTTCAATTTTTGAAAACTTTTATTGCTTGTATAGATTGTGATCCTACCAGTTTTGTTACTTTTGTTATATTTTGCCACATAAATGTTTTATGCTCAGCCTCCGATAGAATATGACCACCAATGACATGCTGTCATGCACACTCGCCAAGATTGCTGCGTGCCTTTACTTGTGGGTGAATATTCCAATGATTTTCACTCAGGGTATAGTTGCTAAGATTTCTCCTATAGCGGCCGGGTCTAGCAAGGCATGTCAGTTGAAGTATGACGCGACTGTATTAGGTGAGGCAAGAAATGGTGACTAATAAAGCGCATAAACAATAGCATTTTCAGAAATGCGGTTCCTGCTATTAGTCATTTCTTCTCGTACCATGCTCTACGAGTGACATTAAATAATAGATTAAATCTCATAATCGGATGCAGCAGCATTTTTCTGGCTTCCCTTGTGATGTGGTCTCGTAATTTGAGGCCATATTCGAACCATGGTTTTCTAAGCAATACTTTTTCCATTTTGTGGACTCAAGAAGAGCAGAAGCTGTATGCAAAGGCACATTTTAGGCAATTTGCTCAGCTAATAGGCATCCGATGCAACGAAATGTGTATTTCGCTGGGACAGAAGCTGCTTTCGCTCATTTCCTAGTTCTCCATTTCCTATGTTCGTTGGTGCCATATAGTCTTAAACACCAAATACTGCTAGTTTTTATATAGCACCACGTTTTTTAATTCAAATTGCTCTCTTATGCGGTCAGTGATTGGTGGTCTCGTTCGCCGACGAAAGGCGATTTGTAGTACTGACGGGCCTGCCGTCTTTTTGCTGAAATAAGGTATATGGCCAGTCTGTAATGCCCTCGGTAATACGGAGGTCCATGCCTTATTCGAGACCATCGAGGTTTGGCCCATTGCACAGGCTGAGAAAGGCCAGTGTGTTTTGTTGGAATGTAGAAGGGATAGATGTTTCTTCAATAATCCGCGAGCGCTGCCATGTTCACGGAAACCTCATTAAGTTCTATGAAGGTGACGCGATGGCAAGCTGTATATATGACTTTGCGAATGTTCGCCTATCATTGACTCGGCTCATCGCCCCTTCCTACTGGCGGGAACTAGTGGCATGGAGCATTTGAGCGTGGCTGGAAGACCCGTTTTTGTGGCGCATTATTTTCAACATCGTGCGAGTCCAGTTGAATGCGGATTGTTGGACGTCTACAGCAATGAATTGTCAGGGAGTGCGGAACCCTGGTAAAAGCTTTAAAACGATCACGGACGAGGAGTGGAGCGCATGGGTTGGCCGGTACACCTTACACGTCCACGCGTTTACCGGCATCGTACGCGCCGCTAGGGCAGCGCCACTTGCCACACGTCACGTTCAGGCAGCGAACGATTTATTCAGGACAACACTGGACTCTAACAGAATCCCAGCACTCACTTGAGTCTAACATGAACACAGAATGCCAACAAGCGAGAACCATCGAAGCATCCTTTTTGTTGGATTTGATCTCGTATGTCTTGCGAATCATCCTTAAAGCAACAGTCCCAGCAGGGTTTTACCTTCGACACTAATGGTGTGGAACGATGCGCTAGCCCTAGTCAAGAACATAAGAAGTGTGACTGAACAAAAAACTCACCTTGGAAAGCCGCTAGAAAGGAGCTGAACGGCTTCGAAGTGGGCGTGGTTGCTCAGTCGGCTGCAATCCCCTCGGCCGACTTCCAACCACGCCCACTTCGAAGCCGTTCAGCTCCCTTTCTAGCGGCTTTCCAAGGTGAGTTTTTTGTTCAGTCACACTTTTATGTTCTTGACTAGGGCTAGCGCATCGTTCCACACCATTAGTGTTGAAGATAAAAATGGGCCTATCACTTCAACAATGTTACTGGCCTAACCATAAGTTACGAATCTTCGACGGTTTCATTTCGTTTCTTCTATGCCGTTGAATTCATTACTAGATCTACTTTCCTTTTTAGTGCTACAGCAACGCCTTGGGTATTTTGGGATCTATAGCACCATCAAATTTAATTTGGTGCGCCTCTCTCAGATCATCATTCTCATGGGATTGAGCTGCAGCTGCAGGCCAGGCACTAATGAAGATAAAGGAAGTCGTTCCCTAGTGATTTTGTTTGCTTGATTGCTTTCACTCGGTACGGATTCCCCATTCTTCCGCCTATTTCTATGTAGACATCTGATCGGCAATTTTTCATCCAGACTTCATGAGTGCAATGAGCTGGCTCAGAGCAACAAGAATGGCAGCTGTAGAGAAAGAACTGCTAACATAACGTTCATACAGTCGTCTACAGCTGCTCACAAACTGTTTTGAGAACCCAGCTGCTTATTACAAGGGTGAGTCAACGTCAAGGAATTCCTAAAAAGAAGCCATCTGACTGTGCGGAGGGAGGCGTACTTCACAACATCACTATCTTTCTCAGAAAACCCTTATGAACCTTCAAAAAACACCCTCGAAGTACAGGACACATCCCTCGATGAATCGATAAATTTTTATCTTTTAGAATACGCCACGCGTTCCTTTCAAAATCGTTTTGGCATTTTTAGACTTATGTGATGAACGGTTCATTGACGCAGAATTCATGATGTTATAAAGGATAAAAAGGATAAAGCATTTGCCGTTGATCAATCCCTTTTGGGATGCGGCACGCATTCTACTTCCATTTGTACATTCGTAGTGGCGTTTGAATGCGATGTGGCCTATACAATGACTTGCGGGGGCCAGCCGATGTACAAGTCTCATCCTCCCAGACAAAGCTGGTACCAATTAACTGACCCCGGAACATGGCGGGCTTGGTTTTGACCCGGGCGACTCACGAACCAGGATTTGATCCCGGATTCGCTCGTCGTTGAGCGTGCCAAACCGCCACTACAAACTCACTTATCGTCCGCTAGCTGTAATGTTTATAATGTTCAGCACCAATTTAAGGACAATTACCGAACCCGAGAGATGGAAGGCATGGTGACCCTAGCAGCGTAGCGGACGCGACAATTTGCTCAGCGGATCATGTCTTAACGAGCGGCGCAGCTTGCCATTGCAGCAGTTCCACTCTTTCAAACCCTCGAGGCATTTTGGATTCAGGTCACTGGTCCAAAAATGAACCGGAGGGAAGAATGCCTTACTATTACGCGGGAGCTGAGGCCTTATATAAGGATGGCCTTCCACCAGTAACTCTAAATCAAGTTTAGTCCGGATTGCTGTGTGTCCCACTACTGGTTCCGGGTGGTCTCGAGTACCGGACTACTAAGTTACGGTAAGTGGCCCACCTTGGTATTTGCGTGATGACCTGTTTTGTTCTCGAATTTCAGTGGAGGCGTTTGGTCGCGTAAAAATACAATTCAACCATAAATCATTAAATCAGCTTCGATCCTTTCAGGCTCTGAATAAGGCGACCCCGTCGAAACGTAAGCCAATAAAGTCTACTTAACAACTTCGTGGAGAGCTTACAGAAAATATCAGCCATCAACATATCATGCCGAGGTTCTTGCAAAGCCGTACATTCGACTCTTTGAGGAAATGTGGTCCAGGCCAGTGGGTTGAGCCATCGCACAAGACTCGTTTGTACAAAATGCGAAAAAGCCCTACACGTGAACTAAATCCTGTTCGCCGTCCCGAAACTACACTGCCAGTTCGTATTAGCTTCATAGCAGTTCACATTTGGAAAGAGAGTAGGAGTTAGTTAAAAGCAGTGATCACGATGACTGACAATGGGCGGTGTGCCCCCGCTTCGATGACCTCAACTGAAGCATTGGTCAGGGGGTAGGTTTTTTAGGTCGCGCCATAGCCGCCCACCCATCTGAAAACGAGGATACCCTTCATCCGACGCATCCTAGATTCTGAGAGGGTCTTGTACTAGCTTTGGTGAAGGGTGTATTAAGACAACAATTGTACTCGGGCCACCCCTGCCCCGGGCGGTTCGGATACGTCCATTTAAAGGCAGAATTTGCGATTGAAAAGATGGCTGCATGAAGAAATAAAGTAGAGGTTTCAGTGGTAGGGAGCAGTGATAAGCGAGCAAGCATTTGAAACCGGTCCCCCGAACATAAACCCAAAGAGAAACCCCTTCCGTGCCCGTTAATTTTCGCATTGATGCGACTCGCATCGCTGTGCCCTATTCAACGCGAGTGTTAGATAGTCGGTGGGCGTACCCCGCCAACCGCGCCAAGAGTGAGCCATGCTAGATCGCCGAGGTCAAATCTTTCGCTGCCAATTGCGCGTCGGTCAGCACCCTCAGGAGGTCCGCCTGTCTCCCAACTATCAATTTTTCCCCTTCTTTGACCTTCGTTCTTATCGTGAATTCTTCCTCCCTCTATCGCTGGTTTTCTGAAGCAGCTGCTATACCAAGGCTGCTTCCTCAAATTCCTCGTTCCATTCGACTACGCAAGTGGCATAAACAATTTTATTCCCGATTTTTCAGCTTCGTCAACCGCTTTTTTTGGCCGCCAGTTTAGTCACACTTAAGGTAGCCTGCGGAATGCTGTCCCAAAACCTCGGACGTCGGGTTCCTGCATTTCCGTCGCAAGAGTTGGATTTCTTAATAAATCGTATAGCATTTATTTATTTATTTATTTATTTATTTATTTATTTATTTATTTATTTATTTATTTATTTATTTATTTATTTATTTATTTATTTATTTATTTATTTATTTATTTATTTATTTATTTTTATTTATTTATTCGTAGTACGGCTGATCCGTGGGCAATACTAGGCTGGAGAGGCTTTTTGTTTGATTCTGCTCTTCACTAGCCTGTCAGCTGAGATTAATCGTAAGGCTATTGCAATTGTCCGCCTTTAACCAACTAAGGCTTCCGTCACGGATTGCGCAGAAATCCAAAATTCCAAGAGCCCCTCCACTTCTTGAGGGACGTCCC